CGACGGCAGCAACAATAACAATAAAAAAAAAAAAAGGAATCTTACCTCCAACGCATTTTACTGGGCGAAGGTGCACTGCAACATCCAACGACATCTGCAACATAGGACACAAGACCGCGGTGTTTCGGCCAAACAAGTGTGAGCAGCGGTGCGCGGCGCTCCTGGCGATACACAAATTTCATCATCACAAACTTCACCCAAAAGTTAGAGAAAAAAAAGAGTGGGGGTCAAGGTTCTTGGTGCTGTTATCACACGTGATGCAGTGCTCTGGATCAGGGGCTGTCGATGGCTCAAGACCGACCATACGTGGCGAAGAGTCACACCCTGCGAGAGGTGCCCCTGCTTTTTACTGAATATGGCGGATCTAGAGAGAACAACTCGATAAAATCCGTAAGTCCAGGTGTTAATCGGACCGTGCCTGCGGACTGAATGGCACTACGTTAGTGTGTCTTTTTACGGTGTACTCCAGTCACGTGGCGCCGTCTGGTTTTATTTAGTCTTTCCGGGGTACCGGGGCTCTGCCTCGGATGACCTCTCTCTTCCCCCTTACTCGTGGGATTCTATGGAAGAAAAACAAATTAATAAAAAAAACAATAAAAGCTCTGTGCCCTCTAACAGTGGGCAACAGTCAGCAGTCTCAGAGGTGCACGCGATGCCCAACGAGATTGCTGAACAAATGGCGATTGCGGCGGACGAACTGGGTGCAAATCCAAACGGCCAAGGCGCTCAACCCTCTCGGGACGCTGTAATGGACGAAATGGACTTTGATCCAAACGGCCTTCTCAGCAACCCGGTGGCCATGGATGTCGATACTGCCAAAATGGACTCTGGTTCAAATGGCAACGACATCCAAATACCCACAGACGAGGAGGAGGCGCTCTTATCGTCACAGCAGGAGGAAGCTAGTATTCCTAAAAGAAAACTCTCTGGAGCAGGTAAAAAGCGCTACAAATTCTACCTCTCCAGAGGTGTCAGCGAAAGCGAGGCCAAACGGCTAGCCACTATTCCGATGGCAAAAGGAAAAGCCGAACTGGCTTTGCTGGCTGGCACAACGCTTAAGAGGAACCGATCGGTCAACCTCACATCTTCCCCGGTGGAGAACTCTCCCAAACGGAAACCAGGTCCAGCTGACAAAAGGGCCCATATGGGACCAAAGGTACCTAGTGTTAAGGCAACTTTTGCCGATGTCACAAAGGCGCCGACCTGTCAGGCGGACACTGGTAATGGGGTTAAGTTAGGGTTACTCCCCAAAGGGTACCCTAAGGCACTTTGGTCCTTAGACCAATTACAGGCCATTCAGACGGCCATCCTGGAGGAGGTGAGGCGGCAGCGAAAGGGCTCTGTGAAGCCCAAGTTTAGCGGTTGCACCTTCCGTCCGGGATGGATGTCCATTGGCTGCGGAGACGCTATAACGCTGGAATGGCTGCGCAAGGTATCCCAAACCCTGAAGCCTTGGAAGGGCGCGGAAATTGTGGCAATGAATGCCACTGACGTGCCCAAACCCAGTGTGTACGTTGGGTACTTTCCGGAGCCATCAACCACTCCAGTGGACAGTATCCTTGGCCTTGTCGAGGGTCAGAACGAAGGGCTGCGGGTAGGTAGCTGGAGGGTGCTCAACAGGGTACAGAAGGGACCCACCACTGAGCTCACTCTAGCGGTTGACCCGCACTCAGCGGAGACACTCGACAGGCTGGGATACTTAGTCAATTATGGATATGGCAGGGTGCGCATCCATAAAAAAGGGAAGACGACTGAGTCGTCAGACCCGAAGGGTGCGCAGCCTGCTATAGCCAGTTCCTCCTCCGCTGCACAAAGTGCGTGCTTCAAAGAGGGACCTTGCGGTTCCAAGGACGTACCCAAGGGACTGCAAAGGTTACCTTCAGAGCAGTCAGGGGCAGCGGAGAAGGAAAAAGCACCTGTCCAGGAGTCCATAGAGCGGCCCTGCTGCTCAGAAGACACTCCTGGCACGGAAAAGAGGGTACCTTCCAGCCCAGAGAGATCAAAGCCCCCTTTCGCCCAAAATCCCTTCCGTCCTCCGCTAAATGCGAATCGGAGACAAGGTCGAGGGGAGATTTCAATGGAGGAGAAGACCCTGATGGCCACCAATAGGGGGAAAAAGATGGCCAAGCGGGCTTCAAGGCCGAAAAATGGCAAACCCCCCAAGCGATAGGCCTAGGCACATCAAGTGCCTGCAAGTGAACCTCCATCATGCAAAGGCGGCCTCTGACGTCTTATGCAGGAGGTTCAAAACAGAACTCTTGGATGTCGCATTCATCCAAGAACCGTGGGTTTTCGCCGGGGCTATTAAAGGCCTAAACGACTGTGATGGTAAGATAATCTACGATACCACACACTGCAGGCCCAGAGCGGCCATATTACTACGTAATAACATGACTTTTGTTCCCATTTCAGAGTTGACACAACAGGACTTAGCTGCTGTATGGACTAAAGTGCCCACTCAAATGGGAGAACAAGAGGTCGTTCTCGCTTCAGCTTACCTCCCAGGCGACAGCTGTGAGATGCCCACAAGGGAAGTAATAGCCCTAGAGGAGTACTGCAGAAGGAGAAAGCTGAAACTAATAATGAGCTGTGACGCCAATGCCCATCACTGTGTTTGGGGCAGCTCGGACACCAATTCTAGAGGTGAGTCATTTCTTGAATTTATCACTAAGAACAACTTATTTATTCTTAACCGGGGTAATGAGCCGACCTTTGTCAATGCTATAAGAGGGGAGGTTCTAGACTTGACAATTTCCTCAACTAGCTTGTCGACCTTTATCTCAAACTGGCATGTCTCAAATGAGGTATCTATGTCGGACCACCGGCATATTCGATTCGATATAGAAGCCCAAAGAGTAACAAACCATGTTTACAGAAATCCCAGAAAAACAAACTGGGAACTCTTTCGCCTCCACATAGAGCGGGAAGTGAATGGTTCTACCGCACCAATTTCATCCGTCTATGAACTTTAGGACGAGGCGAGAAAGTTCCAAGATGTTCTTAAACAAGGTTTTGAAGAGAGCTGACCACTGAGAACCAAGAAGTCTCAAAGGGATGTCCCTTGGTGGAGCGATTCTCTCGGAAAACTAAGGAAAAGAGCCAGGAAACTTTTCAATAGGGCAAAGTCAACAGGTGACTGGACCGCCTACAAGTCAGCCCTAACCGCTTACAACTGTGAGCTCAGAAGGTCTAAAAGGGCTACGTGGCGTGAGCACTGCGGAAGTATTTCCTCTCTTCCAGAGGTGCATCGCCTTCAGAAGGCCCTTAAACTAGATCATCCGAAAGTCCTATGCACTTTGAAAAGACCAGATGGTACCTACACTGGCACCCCGGAAGAAACCAGCAGGCTTCTGCTAGAAACCCACTTCCCGGGATGTATTCCACAAGGCACATGTCCTTCGACAAACACGGCGAACGCTGTGTGCGCAAACAGGAGGACTAGAGGCCTAGCAGGAAGAATCGTCAGTGTGGAAAAGATATCGTGGGCCATTTCAACCTTTAGTGCATATAAATCCCCTGGTCCAGATGGTATCTTCCCATGCCTGCTGCAGCAGAGCTTGGGCTTAATATCAGGGCCACTAGTCAGATTGCTGAGAGCAAGTCTCTTACTTGCTCACATACCAACAACATGGAGTGAAGTCAAAGTGGTCTTTATACCCAAAGTGGGGAAAAACTCAGCACAACTCCCAAAGGCGTACAGGCCAATTAGCCTCAGTTCCTTTCTAGTAAAGACACTAGAAAAACTTATTGACTTTCACATAAGGGATAACTTTCTCAGGAATAAGCCTCTGTGTCAGAGTCAGCACGCATACCAGGCAGGCAAATCTACTATTACTGCAATACATAGCCTAACTCAAGTCATTGAAAAGGCATTGCGGTATAAACAGATAGCTTTGTGTGCATTCCTGGACATATCAGGTGCTTTCGACAATACGTCTTATGAAGCAATATCGACAGCTATGATACGAAAGGATATTCCTGTCCTTCTAACGGATTGGATCATAAGCATGTTGACGTCCAGAACCATAATAGCGGAACTAGGAGACGACAGGCAAGCAGTAAATGCCACCCGTGGCTGTCCTCAAGGGGGAGTCTTATCGCCCCTACTTTGGACACTGGTTGTTGACGAACTTCTTGAAAAGCTAAATGGCAATGGATTCAAGGCATATGGATATGCAGATGACCTAGTCATCTACGTTGTCGGCTGGCATGAGGACACAATTTGTTCCAGATTGCAAGCTGCGCTCAGTCTAACGGAAGACTGGTGTGCTTCAAAGGGATTGTCAATAAACCCGCAGAAGTCCACCGTTGTCCCATTTACCAATAGAAGGAAAGTCAACTTGACTAAACCCACTTTGGCAGGGAGTTCTCAGAAGAGGCGAAGTATCTAGGGGTAACTCTGGACAAAAGGCTCAATTGGAACTCACATCTCCTTAACATTACCAACAAGGCTACAAGGGCGTTTTATGCCTGCCAGAGACTCCATGGTAAAACTTGGGGAATATCACCCAAACTAACGTATTGGTCTTTCAATACGGTCGTGAAACCTGTTGTCACATATGCGGCACTGGCCTGGTGGCCAAAAGCAAAGAAAGCAAGTGCGTGTGCCACCTTGAGCAAGCTACACCGCTTGATCTGTGTGGCCATCACAGGAGCTATGCGCACCTGTCCAACGGATGCCCTCGGTATAATTACAGGCATTCCTCCTCTATCTATTCTGATAGAAAAGGAGGCCTGCTGGAGCTCCATACGGCTGCCCAATGTAATCAGCATGAAGAGTGGAGATCTTTGGGGTCACTTGGAGGTTCTCAAGCCTTTTCTGGATGATCCCGCTATCAAGCTCACAGATATCATGCTACCGAAATTATCCTTTGATAAGCCCTACAAGGTCAGAATTCCTTAAAGGGACTGCTGTAAAGCGATAATATCTATGATTGACAAAGGGTCCCAAGTATGGTATACCGATGGATCAAAGATGGAAGACGGGAGTACTGGGGCAGGCGTGCTTGGACCAAGGTTCCAGAAAAGTCTGCCAATGGGCTCATACCCAACCATATTCCAGGCGGAGATCTTCGCAATCGAAGTCTGTGTTCGAGAATGTCTTCGGAGAAGGACAAACGGGGCCAG